AGCAGTGGTGGCAGAACTGGCTGATTTAAGGGTTCAACCCACCATCAGAAATGCAGGTCCTTTTCCTCTTTGCTGCATTCACTGGCGTGTCAGCCTTCCCCCACAGGCTGACCCTCCTGCTGGTCAGCAGTTCCGAACAGGTGTCCCATCCAGGCCCAGCAGTGGCCAAAGGAAGAAGAGATGGTGTCTTTCTGAGTGTGGGAGTCTTTCCCAGGGGCTTTCCGGTAGACCTTCCCCTCAGTCTCGTGGGCCAGAATAGCACCACTGTCCCCGACTGCACACACCTCTAATCTGGGAAGCGAGAACAGCAGCGGCCGGCCTTGGGCTGGAGCTGGGATGTGTCTCCATACAGCACATGGCCACAGGGCAGGATGGGAAAAGGGAGATAAGTTGTGTAGGCCACACACCAAGGAGCCTAGAAGGATCAGTGTCATTAGCTCAGAGGAGACCACTGGATGGCGAGAGCTCAGTTTGAAAGAAAAGCAAAAGGCAGATGTGGTTTTGTGTGCCATGTCGGGCTCAAACCTTAACCTCTATGCTATAGGGTGGTGTAGTAAGAGAAAACATTTCAAGTTATATGGCTTTCGCAAATAGTATTATTTTTAACAAGATGCCCAGTCTATCTTGAGAACGCCAATTATAATACATTGTAGCAGTATTTATAACATCAGATGTATCTTATATAATATGCACCCTGGCATATCTCTCTCTCTCTCTCTCTCTCTCTCTCACACACACACACACACACACACACACACACACACACACACAGCTTTGTTTTTGTTCCCAACTAAGACTAGAAAGTTTATTAGAAAACTTAGCCATTTGACATTTGAAACAGCTTAAGGCAGTATAGTGTTGATTCTATCAAATTGTGATTCTCTCAAAGAATATTTCCCATCATGAATAAGTTATCAGTCATAGTCCTCTTTTTTTTTTGGAAGGGAAACAAGAAACAGACACATAAATGGTGTTTTGCAACTTCAAATTTTCTCATCAAAGTCTTTTGGTTACAAGTTAGAAAATAGCCCCACCGTGTGACCAAAAATCAGCGAATGGGTCACTCGAGCAAAAAATGAAGCAGATTTTGCCTTCAGGAAGAAAGAACAGGAAAATAGGAAAAGGCTGCCCCCTTCAGGAGGATGCTATTGTTACGCTTTTTACCTTAGAGGTTCACAAACCCTTCGCTTATGGTGTTGTGGCTAATTCTGACTGTTGACTCTAACTCCAAAAGCAGACTTATATTTGATCTGTCCTGTAGAAAAATTACTTTTATAAACTCTCCTAATATTTGTTTTCTATATTTTCTCTGTATTTACTCTTGGTTTTGACAACATGCACTGGATGAAACATTCATGATAAACATTTTAACCTGAATCTGCCCAAACATTATCACCTGTAATTAGACAGCTAAGGAAGGTAACATCTTTGGAGGGTGAGTGAGGATTTAGAAAGACAAATGAAGTAGAAAATCAGGTAATCAGAGTCAAGGTTTCGCTTGTTTGCACAGGCTGGTTTTGAACTCCTGGCCTCAAGCGATCTTCCCACCTCAGCTGCCTAGCTGAGCAGATTAATGTGACCTATTGAAAAATGCCTCAGCCCAGCACAGTGGCTCAGACCTGTCATCCCAGCATTTGAGGAGTCTGAGATGGGAGAATCACTTGAGCCCAGGAGTTCGAGACCAACCTGGGCAATATAGTGAAACCTTGTCTCTAAAAAAATTTTTAAAATTAGCCTGGTGTGGTGGTGCATGCCTGTAGTCCAAGCTACTTGGGAGACTGAGGCAGAAGGATAGCCCGAGCCAAGGAGGTGGAGGCTGCGGTGAGCAATTGCACTCCAGCCTGGGTGACAGAGAGAGATCCCAACCTCCCTTCCCCCTCCAAAAAAAGGAAAAAAAAAATAGAAATGAATAATAACTAATAATAAAATAGAACATTTATAACATACTGTAATAACAGTCATGTGGGCTCTTATTACAGCCTAATGGGAATTCTTATATTCATTGCATAGAAAAGATGGTAGAGTTTTCACAGAGAGTTCAAGAACTGCCAAGCAGCTAGGTAGGAGGCTGGGAACTATTTCTCAACTCTTCCTCCTCAAGAATTTTAAGGTAGGATTCTTTTTTTCTGAGTCAGAGTCTCACTCTGTCACTCAGGCTGGAGTGCAGTGGCATGCTCACAGCTACTGCAACCTCAACCTCACAGCTACTGCAACCTCAGGCAACCCTTCTGCCTCAGTCTTCCAAGTAGCTGGAACCACAGGTGGGCACCACCACACCCAGCTAATTTTTAAAAAAAATTTTATTGCAGAGACGTGGGCTTGCCAAGTTTCCCAGGCTGTTCTCAAACCCCTGGGCTGAGACAATCCTCACACTCCAGCCTCTCAAAGTGCTGGAATTACAGGCATGAACCCAAATTTAATATTTTCAAACCAGCTATCTTGAATGTTATCCCCAAAGCTTCATGTACTATTTAAAGTTATGACATAGCCGTAAGTTATTATTTTAGGTAACCAAAACCAGTGGGTGTAGTCCCCAAATTCTGAAGCATAAAATGATTGACATTTTTTGAAGATGAAAAAGAACAACCTTACCAAGAAAATACAGGTCTGACTTTAGCTTCAATACATAGAAAAAAAAGTGAGGCAAATCACTGATCAGTCAATTTATATTCATTCCCAGAAGTCTGCAGAATGTTTCTTTTTCTCAAAGAAAACTAACATGGCTTTGTAGAGATAAAAGTACACAGATTTAATCTAAGGCTAAGAAGAACTAATGTGTTGATTCAGTTCTCTTGAACAATAAAAATCGCTATTACGCCAATTACTTACTGATACTTATTGAGGGCTTACTGTGAACCATGTATGTGCTGAATACTTCTATGTTACATCATGCAATGCTACTGATCTTTGGTGTATACAGTATGTTATACATGGCGACTATCACAGATAAAAAAATTAAAGCCTACTGAGTTCAAGTAATGTGCCCAAGATCCAGGAACAGAGTGCGATTTCAAACAGCTGGCTCATAACCTCTGAACCACTGTTTGCTGGAAGCGGGTCTGGCATTCGCAGACTCAAATTCCAAGTTGTATTCAGTTTGGTCATGGATATTCAGTTCAATCTGTAGCAGCTGGATAAAGGGCACTCTTCCGTACGATGTAAATATTCCACGAAGACACTGCTGTTAATGCCGCCCACTGGGGTCAATTAGATACTCAGAAATCAATGGGCGAAGAGTTGGGTCTTTCGACTGGAGAGGAAAAGACCAAAGATGCACCTGGGGAAGATTCTCCGGACTGTTCTAAAGCTGCAGATTTGGACTTTCTGATAACTCATGTTCTCCACCATGCGATGGTCATTTTACTCTTGTGGGGCTCAGCCAGAGCTCTTTGGCTCTAGATCTGGTTTGGGAAGGAACAGAACAGTCTCTTCTCATCTGGACCAATCCTTGGAAACGTATCCTCCTCTTCATTAATCCATACATTACATCATCATTTGTTTTGTTTTGTTTTTCCCTGACCAAAGGCTCTTCCAGAGCAAAGCAAAACACAGGCTAGGCCCCAGACTAGCATTCGTTCATGAGTGGAGGAAGAGGCACAGAGTCTCCAGTTACCGAGAGGAGTGAGCTAAACAAAGCAGAAGGAAGATCTTCCAAGCAGAGAGAACGACATGCGCAAAACCTGGGCAGTGTGAATTGTTTGGGGAACCGTGGCAGGGGTGGCAGGAGGAGTGTTTGAGCTATAGGAAGGCGGTCAGCCCCGACGCAGCTAGCGCCAGGACTCCAGAGCCCGCCAGCTTTGGTTTGAATCCTAGTTTCATCTCTTACCAGCTGTGTGTCTTTGGGCTGGTTACATAACCTCTCTGTATCTGTCTCATGGGGTTTGGGAATATTAAATGAATCACAGCATAATAAGTGCCTAGAACATTGCATAATACGCTGTGAGACTCCTGTAGTCATTATTGTGAGTGGTGAGATAGGCAGGGGATGGCCGTGGAGGTCTCTTTATCCACATCAGCAAAATGTTTTCTTTCGAGGACTTTTTTCAACTGGAGAAACAAAAAAAGTTGTGGGGGGCGGAGGGAAAGATAGAAAATCAAAACTTTATGCCAAAAGCCCTGGAGGCTTTTTGAAGAGTTGCAAGAAATGAGGAGAAAGCGTGTGGTTTGAATTTTGGAAAGGTTCTTCTGGTGTCTGGATAGAGGGTGGATTCAAGGGAGTCAAACGGCGACAGGAAGGCCAGTGGGGGCCAAGTGCAGTCAGCCCGTGTTCCATGAAGATACTGCAGGAATCAAAGACTAGAGCCATTGGTGAGTCCGTACTTTGCAAATTCCTGTTAACCAGTTTTCTTTGCGATGTCCTTCCTTTGGCTGGGCCTTGTAACATATGAGTGGGGACACCCAAAAAACAGAATTGTTTTTTGGAAGGCAATCCCCTTGTAGTACAGGCTTCCTCTGCTAGTATTTAGGAACCCACCGGCATCAGGGCACCAGTTAGCATTGCTGTGAGAGGCTGCGTTCAGGTTCAGTGAATTTTTTTTTAAGATTCTTTCAATGTGTTTGTGCGTTTACCAAAAACAGCATGACCCCCGTGCCCCCCGCCGCCGCAACTTTTTTTGTTTCCCTGGATGAAAAAAGTCCTCGAAAGAAAACAGTTTGCTGATGTGGAAGAGGTGAAACAAAAAACAGCAGAAGCACTAAAAGACATCATAACTGATGAGTTCAAAAACTGTTCTGAGCAGTGGAAAAAGTATCTTGATAGGTGTACTGCATCCAATGGACAGTACTTTGAAGTGACTGAAGTTTAAACATGGAAATATACAATTTTTTATCAATAAATTCTGCTTTTGGGGGTTCCTCCCTCTTATAGTAATTATTTTAATGTGCATATAGGTGCAAAATTAATGCATGTGTGTATGTATAATGTATTTCTAGTTTTACACTTTTCAGCCACTCTAAAATGTTACTCTACAAAATTTACGACTCTACAACTTTGCCCATAGGTATCTCTGATGAATACATAACACCGATGTTTAGCTTTTATAAAAGTATTGGGGAATTGAAAATGACTCAAGAAGAATATGCTCTGCTTACAGCAATTGTTATCCTCTCTCCAGGTAAGATCAGTATTATTTTTAAGTTTTTATGTCGTTTGTTTTTCTTCTGCGTAATAGTAAGAAAACTTGGAAAACACAAAAGCATAAAGAAAATGTTAAATGGTCTATAATTCTACCATTCAGATTGGGCTATTGTTAATATTTCAGCGCCCTTTTTCTGTCTTTTCTTCACAAATCACAGTCATTCATGGAATAAATGTATGTTGATCACCTACCATGTACTAGACATGCCCCTGGGCGTTGGGGACAACAGGACACAACTCCTACGCAGCTTATATTCCAGTAGGGTGGAAAAGGTAATTGTTAGGTCACACTCCCAGTGGGGTCCTCCAGAATGGTAGCTCGGCCCGCTAGGAGTGTGGGCGCCTGGTGTGCGATCCAGTGCTGCATGAAAGATGCAGAGACCGGGCTCGGTGGCTCATTCTGTCATCCCAGCACTACGGGAGGCCGAGGCAAGTGGATTGCCTAAGCCCATGGGTTCGAGACCAGCCCAGGCAATTTGGCGAGACCTTGTCTCTACAATAAATAAAAAATTAGCCGGGCGTGGTAGTGCACGCCTGTAGTTCCGGCTACTTGGAAGGTTGAGGCAGAAGGATCGCCGGAGCCCAGCAGGTTGACGCTGGGGTGGCCGTGAGCGTGCCACCGCACTCTAGCTCCAAAAAAAAAAGATGCAAAGAATTGCACAGAAGTTAGATTAGAAAATACAGTTTATTTCAAGCTATATTAGAAAGAGGAGATTTACCTCCCCAAGATAGGGGAGGGGGCCAAAGCTCAGAGAGCACATGGCCACACCATAGCTTAGAAAGGCAGTGGCTGCAATGGCCTGGCAATGGTGGCTGGTTACTCGTGGTTGAGTCCTTTCAACCATTCCCCTTGATGGGGGAAGGTCATTAAAGAGATTGGGCAGTGGTCTGCTTCACGTCGTCACAAAGGGACAGGTAAGTACAGGTACTGATGTCAGGTGATGGACAACAGGCAGATGGGTGGGTTAGCCACATGACTGCTGCCATGGTGATAGGCCAGATGAAAGGAGTTAAGGGGAGAGATTTTTCCTGCAAGAGACCTGTCAGGCTTTTCTAATTCACAATCTTCTTAGCAAAAAGTTGGTCTAACTATAATTTCTATGGCTTTGACCAGTTAAGGGGCCTGAAAGTTTCTTAGAGATTATTATGCTAAACCGTGAATTGAAAGGTTAGGCTGTCCTTGTCTTGTGTCTAATGGAGATTTGCCTAGGTGGGCTGCCAACTTGGCCTGTAGTAAACTGTCTGAACACTTCCTAAAACCTGCCTATTGGGAATGTATCTATCTATGTCTAACCTGTGCTAGATTCAAAGCATGTCAATCTAAGCAAAAATGGTTATGCTGAGGCAAAATGTGAACTAAGTTTATTCCAAGTTTCTCTGGGTTCCTCCTTTCAGTAATCAATGAAGAAACAATGGGAGACAATTTTGGGGGAGGTGGTAAATGGTGGTAAATGCTACAAAAAATATATAATGATGAGAATATAAAGAGAAAAAGTAGCCAGAAATAAAAATTTTTTTCGGAGTAGGAGTCTTACTCTCGTCCATGCTGGAGTGCAGTGGCATGCCCGCAGCCTCGACCTGCTGGGCTCAGGTGATCTTTCTACCTCAGCCTTCCAAGTAACTGGGATTACAGGCATGCCACCATGCTTGGCTAATTTTTTGACTTATTGTAGAGATGAGGTCTTGCTAAGTTGTCCAAATGGGTCTCAAACCCCTGGGCTCAAGCAATCCTCTTGCCTTGGCCTCCCAAAGTGCTGGGATTACAGGTGTGAGCTACCACACCTGGCTAAAAATGGTCTTTTGACTAGTGGTCACTGATGGTTTTTCCAAGTGGTTGACATTTGAGCAAGGACTTAAATGACAATTAGACACTTTTGTTTTTTGAGTTGGAGTCTCACTCTGCCACCCAGACTGGAGTGCAGTGGCCACTCCCGGCCATCACAGCCTTGCCTGCTGGGCTCCGGTGATCCTTCCGCCTCAGCCTTCCGAGTAGCCGGAATTACAGGCATGCGCTACCACGCCCGGCTGATTTTTTGATTTATTGTAGAGATGAGGTCTCGCTGCCCAGGCGGGTCTCGAACCCGCGGGCTCAGGCAATCCATTCACCTCAGCCTCCCAAAGGCGCGGGATGACAGGCTGAGCCACCGAGCCCAGCTAATTAGACACTTTTTAACATAATAGAGAACTTTTCCCTAAGTTTTTATATTCTTCAAATGTCTTTTCCAAAGTCATTAAAAAATTATATTGGTCAAGTTTGTTGTAAGACATGTATCATACTCCATTGTGTGAATGCACAGTCATTTACTTAATCTTTATCATATGTTCGCACATTCAGGATATTTTCAATTTTTAAATTCTAAACAATGTTGAAATGAATACCTCTGTACATAAAATTTGTCTATATTTTTAGATTACTTTAATAATTTGGGAGTAAGTGATGCCATGTCCATGATTCGTAAAGCATAATTACAATGTTGACCTTAAACTTTTTTTTTTTTTTTTTTGAGTCAGGAGCTCACTCTATTGCCCAGGCTGGGCAAGTTGGCGAGACCTCATCTCTACAATATATCAAAAATTAGCCGGGCGTGGTAGTGCGCGCCTGTAGTTCCAGCTACTTGGAAGGCTGAGGCGGAAGGATCGCCGGAGCCCAGCAGGTCGAGGCTGCGGTGGCCGGGAGCAGCCACTGCACTCCAGTCTGGGTGACAGAGTGAGACTCCAACTCAAAAAAAAAAAAGGAGTTTTGATTGGAAGGAGGGGAATTTAGGGAGGCATCCGGGGAGCATTACATCTTCTGTGTCTTCATCTAGTTATAATTACCTGGGTGTAGGAGTGGGTGTGTAAAAATTCATCAAGTTGAACAACTTAATGTATATATTTTAAGTGCATAACATTTGTAAATTTACACTTCAAAAAAGTTAACATTGGGCTGGGTGTGGTGGTTCACGCCTATAATCCTAGCACTTTGGGAGGAGGAGGTGGGAAGCTTGCTTGAGCCCAGGAAACATAGTGAGTCCTCATCTCTAAAAAAAAAAAAAAAATTAAAATTAAAAAAAATTAGTTGGGTGTGATGATGAGCACCTGTAGTCCCAGTTACTCGGGAGGCTGAGGCTGGAGGACTGCTTGAACCTGGGAATTGAAGGCTGCAATGAGCTATGATTATGCCATTGCACTCCAGCCTAGGCAACAGAGTGAGATTCCGACTCAAAAAAAAAAAAAAGTAAATTAAACAAAACAAAACAAAACAAAACGTTAACACTGGTATAATTATGCCAAGCTGATGCTTTTCCCCTTTTAAGTGTCACTTTATTTCAAACTTCGAAACAGACAGACAATACATAAAGGACAGAGAGGCCGTGGAGAAGCTTCAGGAACCTCTGCTTGATGTGCTCCAGAAGCTGTGTAAGATTCACCAGCCCGAGAACCCCCAGCATTTCGCCTGCCTCCTGGGCCGCCTGACGGAACTGCGGACGTTCAATCACCACCATGCCGAGATGCTGATGTCGTGGAGGGTGAACGACCACAAGTTCACCCCGCTTCTCTGCGAGATCTGGGATGTGCAGTGATGAGCCCCGCAGGGGAGGGCCTGGCTCCGTGCCTCCTCGTCATATGAATCTGATGTACAACTCTCCTTTATTCCATTTGAACCTGGTCTCACTCGAGAAATCCTGGCGAATATTTATGTTGTAATTACACGTGTAACTTCCACACCTGTAACTACGGGCTAGATAGAGCTGCTTTCTCTGCACTGTATGTCACAAGGCTTCAGGGACCTACGTTCTGACTGGCATGCCCGGCCTGCCTCGCTAGATCGACTGCTGCTTCAATTCTATCTGTCAGACGAGGAAGAATCTCATTTTGTTTTTCATCTTACCACATTACGTATATTTTATTAAAGAGTTGTATTCAGTTTTGGCAATAAACCAAACATAATGGCCACAGGCTTTTCTTTGGGATAAAAATTTCACAGACATACAAACTCTCATTTCTTTAAATGCTGAAAGACATCCTATTGAACCCAAGGGAGTAATTTACAGAAAGAAGCACTCTGACAGCATAAATGGCTCTTTTCTCACCCCTGGAAAAGTCCTGGTGAGTACTGTTCATTGATCTGTTACAGGCCTCTGAGGTCCCTTTTCTTTGAGGTTCCTGTTGGAGGCAGCATATAGGAAAGCTGTGATTTTTCATATGAAATATTCCTTCGAGCAATCTCTTTTTTGTGTAGGTCTTGAGGCAGCACTGACCTATTCAGATGCCTTCCCTGAGCTCTCTGAAAAGTGCTCACTGTGGGCGTCGGTGCATGCAGTTCATCATTTTTCTTTTTTGTTTTGCTTTTTGAAAACACTCCTACATCTGGGCGCACAGCTGTTGTATGCTTCCCCCCCAAGCAGGAATTACTTCATTTCCTTCCTCCATTGTTACACTGTTGCATTCTTCTCCTCAGTATTCTTGGGCGAATACAATAAAACACTTTCTATGAGTAATGGGTTTCTATCTCCCTTTCTCCTGAAGTCAGCTAAGCAAGAAAAGAGGCTTCCCCCCTCCCTTTTTCTTCCTTATCAAAATACTAGGGCAATTCTGGAATTATAAAAATAACTGGTCAGTGGGAAGGGTACAACAAAAATGTCTTCAGATCTCACTAAGCAAGTGATTCATGGGCTAAGCTCTGTGGGCTACATGGTGTAGCCAGTAACCCCCTGGTAGGAGTTATATAAAGGGTGGGCTGCCCAGGAACTGAGCAAGTCTCAGGGAGGGGGGATTTCAGCTGGGTCAAGGTCAGAGGGAAGGGCTCAAGGTGAAAGAAGCAGCAGGAGCAAGGTGGGGAATTGTGCGGATCATAAAGACCCTGGTAACCTGGGGGCGGCCCAGTGCAGGGCCCCTCCCCGGCTCCCGTCTCCCCGGCTCCCGTCTCCCGGCTGTGAAGAGGCAGCTGGACTATTTCAGGGACTGAGGGGGTTAATGAAAGAGTAAGTGGGAGCTGCAGGCCCAACAGGGAGTGGGATGGCGAGGAAATGGCTTAAGAAGGAAGTTAACTCCCAGACGCCTGACAGCATGGACACCGTTTGGGGGAAGTGGGTATGTTCGGTGTCTCCAGATTACATCCCTCTGTGCCGAAAGTAGACGCCTAATCCTATCGGTCTGGATTTATTTATGTGGTTGAGACCTTGTGATAGCAATCATGCTTGTCACGTGGAAAACTGACTGTGACGCTGTAAGAAATACATATTTGGCTTTTGTTCCTGGTTTCTGAGGCAGTTTCTAAAACCCTTGGGGTTTCTGAGGGACAGGGGTCATAGGAGCATCTTTTGGCAAAAATAAAGTACAAATGAAAATGCTAAGAAAGAGGGGCATCTCCCCCTCTCTGACATGCACTGGAGTGGACCATTTTCTGCACGGCTGTTAGAGTGATCTTCTTCTGAAATGCACATCTGGGTACATGCCCCCCACCCATGATGAGCCTTGGCTTTAGCAAAGACGCTCAGCTCTCTCGACAGAGCAGGCAGCTGCTGAGACCCTTCACCTTCCAGTTCTACCCGCTTGCCTCCCGCCAGATTCCAGGCCTCCAGCTAATAGGCATTTCCCAGGGTCTACCTTCTCTTAAACCAAGCGAGAAGGGAAGAAAGGATGGAGAAAGGGGAAGTAGATGGTTTCCCTGTTCTCCCCCCTCCGCCTCCGCCCCAGGTCCAAGTGAGGGTGACTGTCTCCCAAGGACATTTGGAAATGTCTGGAGACAGTTTTGGCTGTCACCACTGGGGGATGGGGATGCTACTGGCATCTGGTGTGGTCTGGTCACTGTGCTGAGGTCGAGAAACTCTGCTCTGACCTTCCTCCTAGTCCATCCGGGCTGCTGGAACAATACCAGAAACTGGGTCTCTTATAAACAACAGGAATTTTGTTTCTCACAGTTCTGGAAGCCCAGGATCAGAGGACTGGCAGATTCGGTGTCTAGCGATCTTTCTGGTTTATAAGTGGTAACCTCCATCTGAGTCCCCTTCCTGTGATGAAAGGGGTAGCTGGCTTTTTTTTTTTTTTGAGTTGGAGTCTCACTCTGTTGCCCAGGCTGGAGTGCAGTGGCACGCTCACCACCATCCCATCTTCAACCTGGTAGGCTCCCGTGATCCTTCTGCCTCAGCCTTCCAAGTAGCCAGAACTACAGGTGCGTGCTACTCTTTGGAGTTTTTTCCTAGTATTCATGGGCTCCACCCTCATGGCCTCATCACCTCCCAAAGATCTTATGATGACAAATACTACTATCTTAGGGATTAGGATTTCAACATATGAATTTTTTTTTTTGAGTCAGTGACTCACACTGTTGCCCAGGCTGGAGTGCAGTGGCCCATGGCTACTGCAGTCTTGCACTGCTGGACTCAGGCGATCCTTCCGCGTCAGCCTTCCAAATAGCTGGGATGATAGGCCTGAGCCACTGGGCTTGGCCATTCAGCATATTAATTTGGGGGAGACAGACATATTCAGATCACAGTACATCCTAAGAAAACATGACCCCTACACTGCACTTTCTCCTGACTTGATCGAGCTTCTACTTCATTCTTGTGGTGGTTGTCTGGCTCACACCAACATTGCAGGCAACCATTTTATTAGTGGATCCAAATACTGGATGTGAACAACTGTCTTTGAAGTTTTGTTTTTTGTTTTTTCTCTGTTGTTGAGAATCAGAAACTGATTTCACTCATTGATTCCATAGTGGCAGATTTTTACTTTTCCCCATATCTCACAAAATTACAATTTCCCTGGCATGAGAATGATACATTCAGCAAATTACCCATATCACATTTGGGTAGTAGTTGACTGTTATCTTTTGGACACTCAGCCTTTTCTTCTGTTAAGAGAACTCCAGTTTCCACAGGGGAACCACGTCCTTCTCTCCTAGTCCACATTTTGGATGGAGGTGTTCCGCCCCGGGCTCCAGAGTTGGAAGTGTGATTCAGGCGTAGCTCGTCAGAACATCACACATCTTAGGTCGCAGTCATTGGAGCAGGATTGGATATGCGCCTCATTTAAAGAAGATGAGATATGCTGCTTGGAGTATTTTTAGGAGGAAGGCAGGGCCGGTCATTTGCCTGTGTGTGTGTTGTATTATTGTTTCAAGTTCTCCACTCTCCCTGCCATGGGATTCCGTGCCAAGCCCCTTGCCTTGTGAATGTGTGTGCCTCTCACAAGAGCAGGCAGGATACATGTCTCCACCCACTGGGGCTGGGCGTTCTTGTGGCTTGCTTTGGGCAATGGCATGTGGCTGGAAATGAGGGTGACAGTTCCCAGCTGAGGCCCTAAGAGCATCCCGTGTTCCTGCCTGCTGTTCCTGCACTCTTCCGCTGTCTGCCATGGGAGGAGCCACGTGCCTTGGGCCAGAAGGAGCACCCGCCAAGCCAAGCCAACAACTTGAGGTGGCACCCTCCCTCCACCATGGGCTAACATAAGGGAAGATCCACAAATAGAAGCCACAGAGAGTTGGAAGTTGTTTGTTATACAGCAAAAATTCAACTCATATTCCTATGTGTGCTCAAGTCCAATCCTTTCCTTCCCTTCTCTGTCTATATGTGGAGGAAGGGCTAACCCAAAACAGGCTGCGTTTTTTGGGGGGTTGGAGTCTCACTCTGTCGCCCAGGCGGGAGTGCAGTGGCAAGCTCACAACCACCCCAGCATCAACCTGCTGGGCTCCAGTGGTCCTTCTGCCTCAGCCTTCCAAGTTGCCAGAACTATAGGCGTGTGCTACCATGCTCAGCTAATTTTTGATGTATTGTAGAGTGGAGGTCTCACCAAGTTGCCTGGGCTGATCTCGAACCCACGGGCTTAGACAATCCACTCGCTCTGGCCTCCCAAAGTACTGGGATTACAGGCTGAGCCACCGAGCCCGGCCAACAGGCTACATTTTATAGGTTCCCGGTAGTTGGCTCTGGCCAGCTTCAGCCAGTAAAAGGTACTGGTGGAAGACTGGGAGCTGGGAAGAAGGGTAAAGGCCAGGATACTCCTCCCTCACATTCCACCTCAGATGGCATCTCTGGTCAAGATCATCTCCTGCAGGGCTCCCAGTCACACAGGAATCCCTCTCCTGGTGCCAATGGCTCCCAAACTCCTCTTTGGAACGTCTGAGCCTTAGGATGTGGTGGCTTCCGACTGTTCCCCATCTCTGAGTTGTCGCATCTGTTCCTGTTTATCCTCTCGGCTCGTCCATCTTCTGCAAAACCAAATTTGGGTCAAATTCCCTTTCTGAAGCACCTAGAATGGTGTGTTTTCTGACTTGAGAAACTATACAGAATTACTTACATTTAAAAATTTTTTTGGTTAGACTGAAACCTAAGAGATGTCAAACTAGAACTTCTGGAAACCATCTTGGAACCAGAGGAAATCTGGGAATAAAAGCAAAACGAAAAACAGAGACAAAAGAGGCTGAATTTTGGTGACATTATTTGATATCTTAGGTCAAACTGTGCCTAGAATTCTATCCTGGGATTTTAATTACATTAGTCAATAATTCCCTTTCTTTCTTGAGAGGATTTTTTTAAAAAATCACACATAACTAAATGTGACAGAAGCTTCATGACACTTGGACATCAAGCCAGGTGGAGACAACAGAGGTTTCCGAGAGCCTGGCCTGGCTGCATCGCTGCATCGCTAACCATTGCACACATCTTGTAGATGAATTGGGGGGTAGGGAGTGGACTCCAGCAATCATTCTTGATATGCTGTCAGATTTCTACATCTCTGCAGATGTAGGTTGTATTCGTTCCCTAGGGTTGCTGTCACAAATTACCACAACTTTGGCAACTTGAAACAGCAGACATTTATTCTTTCGCAGTTCGAGAGTCCCAAAGTCCAAAACCAACATGTCAGCAGGACCCAACTCACTCCAGAGGCGCTAGGAGAGAATCTTTCCGTGCCTCTTCCGGCTTCTGATGGCTCCTGACAGTCCTTGGCTTGTGACAG